AATCACAAACTTGCATGAATAGAGAAGAGTACAACTCAGTATGAAGCCACTCCGTCGATTCCAACGGGGGCCCACGACACCAGCTCTACGTCTCATTGCATTTTGACTTGAATGTTCTCTGGTCATCCTCGAACTTGCATGATTTGAAGGATACACAATGCATTCTGCACTCCACTCGAGGCAAAGAAAAGTAAGACCTCATGCAATGAATTATCAATTATCAGTTATCAATGACTCAATGTTGAATGTCTTCTTGTCATCATCGAACTTGCATGAATTGCGGGATACACACTGAATTATGCACTCCATTCGAGGCGAAGAAAAGTAAGACCTCATGCAACGAATTATCAATTAGCAGTTATCAATGACTCAATGTTGAATGTCTCCTTGTCATCGTCGAAAACTTGCGTGAATTCATAAGAGTAACGATCAGAAAGATGAAAGAAAAGCGCCTCCGTCGAATAACCAACGGATCCCCGAACACCTGCCGAAACTCACTCCACTCCATCCTGCCGAGCTCCCTCCGCCGTCGAGACGATCGTGGGCAACATCTGCTGAAACTTCCTGAACTCTGCAAATAGATCCCCTGAGTTCGATGAGCTCCCTCCTCCACCGTTCTCCGCCTCCTCTCTCACCCTCTTCCTCTCGTTATCCTTCTCCACCTCCGACATCTTAATATCAGCTGCCGTCGCCATTTCAAACGACTGGCAATCACCAGTCTGCGTTCACACCAACAGCGTGTCCTCAATGAATATCTCACACAACGACACCTCGGACACGTGAGTTGACGATACTCTCTCCAATAGTCTCTCTCGAGCTCTTAATACCAGTTTTTGATCTCTCACAACTGGGAGCCAGCGGTAAACCGTCAACCCTGGTTCTACGGTTCTGCGCGGGCCGATTCGAGCTCCCACAGGAGCAGGCCAGGACACAAAGGACGACATCAAACAGCGGAGCTGTACAGAGGCAGCGAAGCTGGAAGATAAAACAGCGAAGCTGTCAGGTGATTCAACAGTGCACTATCTACCCAGAAGTGTGCACAGATCAGAAACACCCGCCAATAAGCTGTATAGCAGCCAGTTCAGCCTGAGTGACTGTGAGATGGGAGGGGAGCATAAAGGCTCGTCTGGCAATACCAGGCTGCCACCTGCAGGATGGTAGCCCAGGAAGAGAAGAGGAAAGGGGCAAGTTAGAGGAGATAAAAATATCAATCACGCAGCCACATGATGTGCCTAGTGCACATGTGCCGCCATCAAAAGAGAACGCCACCGCATGTACACAAAGATGACCCAAACGTATAAGTCGTAATATGTTGTGATGCCACCGAACAGCCGTCTCGCGGTCTCATGGGCCGCCTCCTCTCTACCCTCCGATATACCCACTTCCAGATATCACGGCCTGCTGCTGGGCTGAATATTTGATACTGCGTACATAATGAATACAACTGTTTCTGCATACTGGAGATGGTGCGTGCATACACTTTATGGAGACACTTGTATCGGCCCGTCAACCGCCCGCAATTCCATACATAACCAGCCTGCATTGACCCTCCATCGTGTTTCATCGGCGAGCAATGCCGCCAATATTTTAGCTTGATGGTCGAGTTCTTTCTCCTGGTGTGCAGCAGTACTATCTTCCTCCTCCCTCCGGTGTGCACCCGAAGAAGCATCTCTGATCAGGCAGAAGTCTAAAATCTTTGTCAATTCAAGTTGCCTAAGCGTATCGACTAGACATGACCTCCACCCCTGATCATTCCAACACATATATTGGTCCCCATGGGGTCCCTGTGTGATCTCCAACAAAGTGAACCAAGGATAAAGACCCTGAACAAGACGATGTTGGCACCGACGGGTCAAGGCACGGCCCCGAGATCCAAACGAACAAATCATAGCATCTCTATGTTCAGTATATTCCCCTGACGCGTGGAGCATGCATAACGCGCTCTGCATTGAGGGAGTGGGCCACGTACTAGTAAATTCATGACGTGCACGCTTACGGGCTTGCCGAGGAGCGGGCGGGCGTTCCAAAGATGGCGCACTGTCACGACGCTGGCGCACAACACGTTTCATACCACTGATCTGTTGACGACGACTTCGTGCTGGTATAGGAGTACAGGGATATATGGATCCACCGTTTCCTGGCACAGAATGCCCTGGATCAGATCATCGAGAGAAGGCCGTCCTAGATCACCATGCGCCGTACAACCAACGTGCTTAGCGAGCAATCACTTACGACGACGGCACATTGCTGAAAGGCACTCACCCTCCACATACATCAGAATCAAACTGTTCACATCGCAAGTGGTGCCCTCGATACCATACAAGAACGCGCTCCGCACACGGCTGTCGCACATGTAGAACTTCCGTGTCATCTGCATCAAAGACCAAAGGGCTCTCATAGAAAGATCGACCCATTCAGAAATTCCTGCGGGCAGCTGCTAAACGATGCTTGATGTCCTCATGCTCCGACAATTCCGTGTCCAACGCATTGACGCGGGTGACCTGTGGGATGACTCGCGCCGGCGGTGAACCGTCAACCTGGTCACCGCCAGGAACCTCGTAGAGCTCCTTGCACCCGTAAGAAAGCTCAGGATCGAAGCGGAGAGCTTCTGGAAGCTTTTCTAGAAACACGTCAAATTGGAGTGAAGATGAAGTCGGTTCCGGGAAGTCAACTAGTACTGAAACTGGCTCTACAGAGCTGAGCTGCTCAGGAAACAAAGTTTATATGATGCTCGGCCTAAAAATCTGCTTTGAAAATAAATTGTCAAATATCTTTGAAATATTCGCAAAACCACCCAAACGTTGTCACTTTGTTCTTTCTAGTCGGGTCGACCAACTAGCGCCGGCGGTGAACCGTCAACCTGGTCATTGCCGGAAATCTCGTAGAGCTGCTTTGACGCGTGAGAGTGCTCAGAGTCGAAAGTGAGAGCTTCTGAAGGCATTTCTCGAAAAAATGAACATTATTTTTTTTCATGTCGATACAAAGTTGGTTCCTCCAAGTCTTTCGATAGTAAAAGTGCGTCTAAAGAGCTCATATTAAGACAGAACCTCATATTCGTTCACAGGTGCGAAAAATCTGCTTTCTCAAAATTAATGGTCAAATATCTTTCAAATATTCGCAAAACCACCCAAAAGTTTTCACTTTGTCCTTTCTGGCCGGGTCGACCAACTAGCTTCATCCCGCGCCGGAATTCCTCTAGCTCATCGATGCCGAAGAGCTCCACGAGGTACTAGCTCCACCCCGCGCCAGAATTCCTCTAGCTCATCGATAACGAAAAGCTCTACGACGTTCTAGGTACGCACGCAGGCACGCGTGGAAGCGTTCCTGGCAGCGCTTTGAATGCGCTGCAGAGGAGCTCCCCAGCGCTCTCGAGGAACGATTTCCCCTTCCCGACGGTCTCCTCGCTCTCCGGGTTTTGGACGCTACCAATGGACGAGCTCGGACTGTCGATGAAACAGATAAACGCGCCTCGTGATTCTGAATCGGTTTCTGTTAATATCTGCTCTGTAGCTAGTGACGAACAAGAGAACCGCCAACGCGTTTCAGGATGACTCGAAACGACCGACTGGTTCCAGTAAGTGTTTTGATGGTAATATTTCAGTTATGCACTGGAGATTTTAATTCTCTGCAGTGCATCATGGCGCGTCCGATGGTGAAATTTCCAGAACAATCTCCGAAATTCGGATCAGAAGACTACGAGGAATTGAGTTCTTTAAATCCCGAAATAACATTTCTTGAGTTTTTAAACGTATATCAACAAATTGATTTTGTCTGTTCTCTTGGAACTGATCTGCTCTCTCCAGAGCTCTACGAGGGACCTGACGGTAACCTGGTCGACGGTTTACCGCCATGCCTCCAGAAGCTCTCTTCTTTGACTCGAGCACTCTCACGCGTCGAAGGAGCTCTACGAGATTCCCGGCGACGACCAGGTTGACGGTTCACCGCCAGTGCCAGTTGGCCGATCCGACCTTAAGAGATAATGTGTTGACTTGGGGTCGGTTTTCGATCCCTGTGCAAAATTTGAAACTTGGCAGCGTCCAACCCGAAGAGCAAAGAGAATCTCGGGGACGGCAAACTGGGCGCCGGCGGTAAACCGTCAACCTTGGTTACCGCTGGGAGACTCGTAGAGCTTCCTAGCTCGACTTAAGTTGAGAAAACCGACAGCAGCTACCAACATTCCGACTCATAGTGAATATTTTTTGACCTCTGAATGCGACAGGCGGGCGCGTCTGATGTCTGCGAATCGACTCCTGTCATTACCAGCCCTGCAGACCCCCTACAGCCCGAGTTAAGTGCAGAAAACCGACAGCACCTCTCAGGATGACTCGAACAATACAGTAGTTTCGCAGACCTAAGTCGGGGAGCAGACCGAGTTCCGAGCTCTGGATTCGACAGCCCGCCGCGCATGATGTCTTCAAATCGATTCCTGTGACCACCAGCACTGTAGCTCCCCTCAGCGCGAGTTAAGTGAAGAAAACCGAGAGCACTTCTCAAGATCACTCCAATACGAATAGTTTCGCGATTCTAGATCGGGCAGCAGACCGAGTTCAGAGCTCTGGATTCGACAGACAAACGCAACTGATGATTCTGAATCAGTTTCTGTAAACATCAGCTCTGTAGCTGTCCCACAGCTCGAGTTGAGTACAGAAAACCGAGAGTTCCTGTTAAGATGACTCGAATAATACGAATAGGTTTGCGGACCTAGCTCGCTAACAGATCGAGTTCAGACCTCTGGATTCAACAGGCGAACGCGCCTAATTATTCTACATCGATTAGCTGTGCTTACCAGCTCTGTATCTGTCCTGAAGCTCGAGTTATGTTCAGAAAACCGTCAGCGCGTATCAAGATGACTCAAAACGGCCGATCCCGCCACAGTGCTTTTTCGATAGTAATATTCACCCGATCGAGCTGAGATCAAGATGGCGAGCGGGAATAAGATCGAATATCACGAGAAAAAATACTAGAGCTCTAACGAATGGTTAAATTTCGAGAACCATACTGGGCGCCGGCGGTAAACCGTCAACCTTTGTTTTTTGCGGACTTTGCGGTCGACTGTGCAGGCTTTCCAGCCTAGTCGGAGCAAGGAGCGGACGTATCCAAACAGGCAAGGCGTGAGTGAGCACAAACTCTTATTCACATCAAACCAGTCCGAAATACGCATGTTCAACCCGCCGTATGACAAGAGGCGTATGCTCAACGTCACATGTGAAGTAATCAACGAATTAGACGGGGAAACAACCCGTGGAAGAACGTCACCTGAAGAATATGAGGGGCTCCTGCCCTTTACACACCTGAAGCGCTTAGTGGGGCCCACAGCGGGCCGTAGAGCCATCATGGCTCCAGCGAGAGGTCAAACAGAGAGATAAAGTGAGGAAAACAAGAACAGGTGAGATACAAGCATTACAGCCTTCGCTGTTCTAAACCGAAAGTTGCATACAAGTGCGCACGAATAGCTTCATCCCAACTTGTCGAAACTCCTCGGGCGTCCGAAGAATATTATTCGGTAATCGCTGCACTTGGAAACCTCAAGAAACTTGGCCATCTCGGCGCGGTTCATGTGTCCTGTCAAGAACCTGTGCACCTCGAAGAATCCTAGGAGATCCTCCAGCGTCGCTTGCACATTCTGGAGCATCTCATACAGTTTCCGAGCATAATCTTTTTGGGCCTTCTTTGTAGGGAACCCACGTTCTGTCACCAGCTTATCAAACAAATCCATTCCGTTCTTTAAATACTCGATCGCATTCAACTCGTTGATGCTGGCAACAGCGTCAATCCACGCTTTGACATCGGCAATGGTGGCCTGAGAGCACGTCGATGTCCCCTTGACCTTGTCACGATCTCTCCCTCGAGTCCTCTGGCGCGACTCCTTCGATACCTCATTGAGCGTGACGGGGCGATTCAGACACCCCTGGGACGCTCCTGACAAGGCGCGGCTATCAGAATCAGACTGCACGTTCGGAGAAGACTCCGCACTCGAGGGCGCCTCCAGCTCCTCCTCCGCCGCCACAGTCACTTTCCCAAGAAGAACTCCTGAAGCTCCTCCCTTCATCCCAACGACACTATCTGTCTGACAGCCGACTTCACAATGAAAGTCCGCAACATCAACCGTCTGCACTCCAACCTCAACCAGCGATTCAGAAGCCTGCACTCCAATATCTACATCAACCAGCGATTCAGAAGCCTGCATACGGCAAGAACGATTCTCCGAAACAGTCTTAATGTCAGCCTCCTCCTCCTCCTCCTCCAAACTGCGTTTGACAACAGGTGGATCGCGCAACAAGAGATAATCTAGAACCAAATCGGCAGTCGCCCGCTCCAGCCCTGGTGGTGGGAGACACGTAGGTGGCACCAAACCATCCAGAGGCAAACGAATAGGTAAATGCACACAGTATCCGTTTTGAACAGCCAGCGCCCGACGCATAATGCGAGCACTTGCACTCCGTACGTGTGGCATAACGAAAGATTGCAGAGACTGCCTCGGAAGCACCCAGCAAAACAAATCAATTGAAGTCAACTCAAGGCGATCAAACGTGTCAAATGAATGGCAGCGCAATATCACTCTAGGCGACAAACGTGTGAAACAAATCAGTTGGAGACCACTCAAGGCGATCAAACGTGTCAAATGAATGGCAGTGCAATATCACTCTAGGCGACAAACGTGTGACTCCCTGACGCGCACTCGATCCCACTGGAGGTTACCCAGGCAGAGGGGATCAAATGTCAAGCGCCTTGAGCCGAGAGACTTGAGCCGGGGGAACCTTTGTTACCGCCGGGGGACTCGTAGAGCTTCCTGACAACATATAATGTCGAAAAGGATTACACAGAAAAAAAGTTTTTCAGTCCAAGCAATTTCAAACCTCTCGGATGCAACAGCCGAACGCCCCCGATGCTTCTGGGTTGTCTTCTGTACGAGCTCTGTAGCTCTCCTACAGCCCGAGCTACGTGCGTAAATCGACAGCACCTCTCAAGATGACTCGAATAATACGAATAGTTTGGCAAACCTAGCTCGAGTATCAGACCGAGTTCAGCTCTGCATGCGACGAGCAGACGCGTCTGATGTCTCCGAATCGATCCCTGTGATTACCAGCCCTGCAGCCCCCCTACAGCCCGAGTTAAGTGCAGGAAACCGACAGCACCTCTCAGGATGACTCGAACAATACGAATAGTTTCGCGGACCTAGTTCGGGCAGCAGACAGAGTTCCGAGCTCTGGATTCGACAGGCGCACGCGCCTGATATCTCCGAATCGATTCCAGTGATTACCAGCCATGCAGCCCCCCTACAGCCCGAGTTAAGTGCAGAGAGCCGACAGCATCTCTCAAGATGACTCGAACAATACGAATAGTTTCGCGATTCTAGATCGGGCAGCAGACCGAGTTGAGAGCTCTGGATTTAACAGACAACGGCCACTGATGATTCTGAATCAGATTCTGTACGCATCAGCTCTGTAGCTGTCCTGTAGCTTGAGTTCAATACAGAAAACCGAGAGCGTCTGTCAAGATGACTCGAATAATACCTAGCTCGGCTAGCAGACCGAGTCCAGACCTCTGGGTTCAACAGGCGAACGCGCCTGATCATTCTGAATAGATTAGCTGTGCTTACCAGCTCTGTAGCTGTCCTGAAGCTCGATTTATCTTGAGAAAACCGTCACCGCGTGACAAGATGAACCGAAACGGCCGATCCCGCCGGGACGCTTTTTGGCAGTAAAAGGTACCCGATCGAGCTAAGATCAAGACGGCGAGCAGGAATAAGATCGAATATCACGGGAAAAAATACTAGAGCTCTAACGAATGGTTGAATTTCGAGAACAAAATTTTCAGACGACCAAAAGTCACCAAGCGCTCCGTCGAGATTTTCTTGCCAACTAGCTCTCCAGCGCCCCGGAATTACTCTTAAGCTTCCAGCAACAACTTGCTAAGGGAAGCTCTACGAGTTCCTTTGTCCTTTCTGGTCGGATCGACCCACTAGCTCCAGCCCGCGCCGGAATTTCTCTAGCTCATCGATAACGAAGAGCTCTACGAGGTACTGGGAACCGGCGGTAAACCGTCAAGCAGGTTACCGCCGGACACCTCGTAGAGCTCTTTCCTTGGAAAAAAAAAAAAAAAAAAAAAAAAAAAAAAAAAAAAAAAAAAAAAAAAAAAAAAAAAAAAACGATTTTTCGGTTTCCATCCAAAAGCGGTTCCTGCAAGTCTTTCGATAGTAATATTGCAGCTACGGACCTGAAAATTTAACTGGCAGACGCGGCATAACCCACTACACGTGAGAAAAATCTGGTTTCTCAAAATGAATTGTCAAATATCTTTCAAATCTTAGCAAAACCGACCCAAAGTCACCACTTTGTCTCTTACGGGCGGGTCGGCCAACTGGCGCCGGCGGTGAACCGTCAACCTGATCACCGCCGGGAACCTCGTAGAGCTCATTCCACGCGTAAGAGTGCTCGGAGTCGAAAGAGAGCTTCTGGAAGCATTTCTCGAAAAATAGAAAAATTGATGTTTTTCGTGTCGACGTGAAGATGGTTCCGCCAAGTGTTTTGATAGTAAAAGTGCGCTTACAGAGCTCATACTAAGACAGAGAGGCCCTCATAGTCGTTTACAGGTGCGAAAAATCTGCTTTCTCAAAATGAATTGTCAAATATCTTTCAAAAAATTGCAAAACCACCCAAAACTTGGTAGCGTCCAAAACTGGGCGCCGGCGGTAAACCGTCACCTTCCTTACCGCCGGGGACTCGTAGAGCTTCCTGACAATATATAATGTGGAAAAAAATGCAGAGAACGAATAGTTTTTCAGCCCAAGCGATTTCAGACCTCTCGATGCAACAGCCGAACGCCCCCGATGCTTCTGGATTGTCTTCTTTGCGAGCTCTGTAGCTCTCCTACAGCCCGAGCTACGTGCGTAAATCGACAGCACCTCTCAAGATGACTCTAACAAAACGAATAGTTTGGCAACCCAGCTCGAGTATCAAACCGAGTTCAGACCTCTGAATGCGACAGGCGGACGCGTCTGATGTCTGCGAATCGACTCCTGTGATTAACATCCCTGCAGCCCCCCTACGGCCCGAGTTAAGTGCAGAAAACCGACAGCACCTCTCAGGATGACTCGAACAATACAGTAGTTTCGCGGACCTAGTTCGGGCAGCAGACCGAGTTCCGAGCTCTGGATTCGACAGACAGACGCGCTGATGTCTTCAAATCGATTCCTGTGACCACCAGCACTGTAGCTCCCCCCCAGCCCGAGTTCAGTGCAGAAAACCGAGAGCACATTTCAAGATGACTCGAACAATACGAATAATTTTGCGATTCTAGATCGGGCAGCAAACCGAGTTCAGAGCTCTGGATTCAATAGACCAATGCAACTGATGTTTCTGAATCGGTTTCTGTAAGTATCAGCTCTGTATCTGTCCCATAGCTCGAATTAAGTACAGAAAAAAGAGAGTGTCTGTCAAGATGACTCGAATAATACGAATAGGTTCGCGGACCTAGCTCGGCTAGCAGACCGAGTTCAGACCTCTAGATTCAACAGGCGAACGCGTCTGATCATTCTGAATCGATTAGCTGTGCTTACCAGCTCTGTAGCTGTTCTGAAGCTCGAGTTATGTTCAGAAAACCGTCATCGCGTGTCAAGATGACTTGAAACGGCCGATCCCGCCTGCCTGCTTTTTGGCAGTGAAAGTTACCCGATCGAGCTGAGATCAAGATGGCGAGCGGGAATAAGATCGAATATCATGGGAAAAAGTTCTAGAGCTCAAACGAATTGTTGAATTTCGAGAACAAAATTTTCAACCGACCAACAGTCATCAAAAGGTCCGTCGAGATTTTTCTTGCCAACTAGCTCTCCAGCGCCCCGGAATTACTCTTAAGCTTCCAGCAACAACTTGCTAGAGGAAGCTCTACGAGTTATTTTCAACCGACCAAAAGTCAGCAAAAGTTCCGTCGAGATTTTTCGGGCCAACTGGGCGCCGGCGGTAAACCGTCAACCTTCCTTACCGCCGGGGGACTCGTAGAGCTTCCTGAGCATATATAAGGTCGAAAAAAATTGCAGAGAACGAATAATTTCTTAGCCCAAACGATTTCAGACCTCTCGATGCAACAGCCAAACGCCCCTCATGCTTCTGGATCGTTTTCTGTGCGCACGAGCTCCGTAGCTCTCCTACAGCCCGAGTTACGTGCGAAAATCGAAAGCACCTCAAGATCACTCGAACAATACAAATAGTTTCGCGAATCTAGCTCGAGTATCAGACCGAGTTCAGACATCTGAATGCAACAGGCGGACGCGACGGATGTCTCCGAATCGATTCCTGTGATTACTAGCCCTGCAGCCCCCTTACAGCCCGAGTCAAGTGCAGAAAACCGACAGCACCTCTAAAGATGACTCGAGCAATACAAATAGATTCGCGACCTAGCTCGGGCAGCAGGCCGAGTTCAGAGCTCTGAATGCGACAGGTAGACGCGACTGATGTCTGCGAATCGATTCCAGTGATTACCAGCCCTGCAGCCCCGTTACAGCTCGAGTTAAGTGCAGAAAACCGACAGCACCTCTGGAGATGACTCGACGAATACGAATAGTTTTGCGAACCTAGCTCGGGCAGAACACCGATTTCCGAGCTGTGGATTCGGCAGGCGAACGCGACTGATGTCTCCGAATCGAGTCCTGTGAGTACGAGCCCTGTAGCCCCCCTACAGCCCGAGTTAAGTGCGGAAAACTGTCAGCACTTCTGAAGATGACTCGAACAACACGAATAGTTTCGCAAACCTAGCGCGGGCAGCAGACCGAGTTCAGACCTCTAGATGGAACAGACGAACGCGCTTGATGATTTGCAATCGATTGCTGTGAGAATCGGCTCTGTAGCTGCCATACAGCTCGAGTTAAGTACAAAATACCGGCAGCACGTATCAAGATGACTCGAAACTGCCGATCCCGCCGCGATGCTTTTTTGCAGAAATATTTACCCGATCAAGCTGAGATTGAGATGGCGAGCGGGAATAAGATCGAATATGGTCAGAAAAAATACTAGAGCTCAAACGAATTGTTGAATTTCGAGAACAAAATTTTCAACCGACCAAAAGTCAGCAAAAGGTCCGTCGAGATTTTTCTTGCCCACTAGCTCTCCAGCGCGCCGGAATCACTCTTAAGCTTCCAGCAACTAGCTAAGGGAAGCTCTACGAGTTTCTAGCCCGCCAGTGCGTCCGAATTACTCTTAAGCTTCCAGCTCCTAGCTTAGGGAAGCTCTACGAGTCACTTCG